TCCTGTTTGCACTGAGTTCATGTTTGGTTTAAAGTATATTAAGTAACAGAATCAATATAATCATCTAACATGGGCAAGCTTGTAGTGAACATCCATATACTTTTCCATCCTTGTACTGGAGAAATCTTAATTTCCCATTTTCCTTCCTTTTCTTTTAATATGTAATGTTTTGGTTTGCCCTTTAGAAGAAAGATAATCCTCATCAATCTGCCTCTTGCATTCATCTTCTTTTCCTCTAAATTGTTCTTTCTATCCTCCCCTCACTCTAGTGCTTCAAGACCAAGGAGTACCTTGATTCTTGTGTTAGAACAATGATGTGTATTTGTATCCTCCTCCATTTTCCTGTCTATCATGAAAAGCCAATCCCATCTTCATGGTTTATTGGAAAAGTGATCAGTTAGAGAAGAATGCACACGAGAGGCAAACTTCAACTTGGTTCTACTGGACATTCATTCATGAAACGGAAGTGTCATTGCTAAGATCCAAATTAAGATCACTGAGTAAATAAAGGACAAAGTTTACCCTTTGACTTTTTTTGTCCCACCCCCAGCCTTGGATGAAGACTATCACCCTGTCAGTTGAGAAGCTGCAGTACAGAGCATCAGCAACGTGGTTCTCCAGGCAGTGGGACCTCCTGAGTTCTGGGTGTCCTCCAACTGCAAAGACTGGACAGCACCAGAGCAACGCACATTTTAACTCACAGAATCACAGAATGGCCTCCTCTGGAATGGACCTTAAAGATCGTGTAGCGCCAACCCCCCTGCCACGGGCAGAGATGCCTAGATCCAGTTGTTGAAAGCTCCACCCAACCTGGCTTTTCAAGATCTAATTCACAGCACAGAGGACACAGGAGTTGCCCTTTTGTTCGACTGTAATGAAAAGTCTTACTGTACAACAGACCTCCCAAACACTGACAGGAAGGAAGGCATTAAAAAAGAACACTTAGGCTGCACAACACGTTTCATGAATTGGATGTTCCATATAAAAAGTAAAATTCTTGTTATCAGCCATTAGAGTAGCAGAAAAGTCCTCAAGGTTGTTATAACTTTCCTCCTTAAGTTGAAACAATACTCTGGCACGTTTATTAGCAACAAAATTAGAAGCTGCCTTGGATTTAGGAGTGGGAAGAGACAGTGAAAAGGAAAAACTTGTGAAGAACCCAAGTGTGTGTTCACTTGGACATCTTTAAAACTAAATTGCGCTTGTTCATCACTTCACAATGTTTGCGCTTTGGATTTGACACTTCTTGGAGAAAATGGACAATTGATAATTTGCACGTGGACAATGATTACAGAGAATAGCAAAATTAAGAATATTAGAAAAACCTGGAAACACTGAAAAGGCAAATGCTGAGATTTCTCACACCACAGAACATGTAAGTCTGTTTTGAAAATAACAGTTTTCTACCATTTTAAAAAAATAGTAATCAGATTTAATATTTTAGAAATAAATTCTATAGAATATAGTCTCTGAGTTACTTCTACTTTTTCAAAGTATTTTACATCAAATGATCTGCAACCATAATAAAGTAGATAATAGAATAACTCTTCAGTCTCAGCAGGAACACTTGAGGATTTTCCCTATCATCCTCTTCTGTCCCTGTTCCTGACTGTTTCAGAAAATAAAACAACTGGCACAATGAACGTGAGTTTATACAACTCATGAGCTGTAACAATGAAGATTCTTATTTAGCAAATGCCTTTTAAAAGGATATCATGGGTCTCTTGCTTTACCTTTGAGTAAGGGCAGCTGCTTTGCTACAGGAGCAGTCCAGGCAAGGAGTTCCAACTGACAGAATTCAGCCAGCAAAAGAAGACACTGTGCAGGGGAGTAAGAGTGCCTGCTGCTTCCAAGTATGGTGTTGCAGGCAAACTACAATCTTGCTGCTCAAATGTTAAGCACTTGACAGGTAAATGTTGTATATGCAACACTGCTTTTATTCTAATTTTTCGCTGTGAAATTTCGCTGTGAAATCCAGTCTAAGGAAAGGAGAGCTTGCTTTAGCTGTGCTTCACATTAGTGAAAAGTTTCTGTTCACTTCTGGACTGGGCTTTATTTGGAAACTGGAGTAGTCTGCAGTACAAAAATTTAGTTATGATACCAAAAAAAAGAGGAATAAACCGGTATTTTGCCTGTTTTAAAGAATTATGTTTTATCACAGTATCTCCAAGTACATTACAAACCAGAGCACAGAGGATGCCAGTGACACAACAGGACAAAGGCAAAGCCAACAGAACCCAGGTCTACTCTCTCTGAGCCCAGTACTCTCTATCTAGTATATCACATTTCTATCAGAGAGTCAGGAACACCTGAAATATTAAAAAACATAATATATGTTCTGTTTTGCATACAAATATATGTATACAATCTTTAAAAAACTAGCTGTGTTTGTGAAGATATTCCCTGTGAGGTAGGGAAAGCGACATGACCGGTTTGTTATCACATTTACTGACAGAAAACACCCAGGTACGGTGTGAAACTGGCTCTGGATCAGTCAGCAATCAGTAACAGCACCACCAACACTACACGGGATTTCTGCACCACTTCCACAAAAGACAGGATTGCTCTGCTACCGGAGCACTGATCAGGCTGAACTGTATCTATGTCTGTGTACAATGGCCTTAAAATAAATTAATGCCAACTCCAACTATGATTCACTAGCAGGAGCTTGTGTAAATGAAAAACAGTAAAACTTTACAAATCTAGAACTTTCTGATCTAAATGGCAGACAACTCAATAAAGAATAGTAGAAAGTTTTACTGACCAGCTTTGAACTTTTAAGGATGTTCCAGTGGACATGAGTTATAGCTCTTAGAAAGCAATTGCAATTGCTGTAATTAATTGTGCAGAAAAGTTCTAATTTCATGTCTAACATCAGTTAAAGATTTACATATATTTAACAATGCACTTTTTTCCAAGAAAGGCGAAGTTCACCTTATAGGCAAAAAGGCATCTGGTTTTAGGTGCTGTTCCAGTGATCTTCTGTGTGAAAATTCTGGTTTATTTTAACAGAGGGAAATGCTTATGTTATGATTCATTTTCCTGAACTATGCAATATAATCATAAATGATTACCTGGTTCCTTAGGAGTGTTTGTCACTAGCCAGATATCTTGCAAAATAAAGCTGATACAACTATCAGTAAAGTAAACATTTCCTCAAATGATACACTGTGTTGACAGAAGCAAATACTGCTGGTTATCATTTAGTAATATAATACTTTTATCACACAGAAACAGCCTACCCAAAATGAAAGGACTGGTTATCAAAATGACTATTAGCCAGTTGAGAAATGGTATACAGCATGCATTATTATATACTAGCCCAGAAAATAACATTAAAATATTTTCCATACTATGATGTATTTAAGCTTGTTTTTCCTTAAATGAAGAGTATGTTTTTTGTTCTAAACAAAACATCGAAGTCTAATCAAGTGGTAGGAAATCTGACTCTCACCTGATTTCTACATCCTACTCTAGATTTCAGGTAAATTAGCCCACCTGTCAGTTAAATTAACCTTCCTGTTTGGTTAGGGCTGCAACTATTTTTTTTGTCACTCTAGTTAACTTAGACATGCTAGAAAAGGCCTTAGCTTTGTTATTTGCTGGTGTGGAATTGGCTGGGCAACAGGTTTAGTCTGTTTTTTAGAAAAGAGGTTTCTGGGGTTTATTTCCTCAGTATGAGTTTCTCTCTGTTAGAAGGGTTGTTGACATTATTAATATAACTCCATGAATTATAAACAGACTTGGCTTTATAACTTGTTGCAAGAACTAAACAAGATTTGTTTACTTTGTATCCTGAGATCAAAGCTTGATTGCAAAATACCAGATCAGACTAAAATAAAGGTATTACTGTCTACATTATCACCAGATAGTCAATTAGGAGTATTTTTTCAACTTAAATCTTATTCAGCACATTTTACTTTTTCCCAGGAATTAACTACTTAAAACATGGGAAAACAATGTATCACAAATACTTTATATAGTCACTGCTTTCTCTACCCTCTCTCTTCCAAGATGTAACTGCTTGTTATCCTGTGCTGCAGGCTTGAGAGAATTTGGCCGCATTCATCCCTGATGCCCCAATGGCATGGAACACACACATCTAAGTACTCAGAAGTTTATACAGGTGCTGATATTAACCTGGACTGGGATCTGAAGCCTGTGCGAGTGGAAATAGTAAATAACCACCACCTCAGTATTTAAAAACTGGATGAGATATATTTTATGAAGTTAATCACTTACTGTGCTTGCTGATAAAATTAAAGATATTTTTCAGGTGAAAGCACAGGGGCCAGGAAAATAATTTCTTATTGCTCAGTAAGGGGGTGAATAACAAAACAAAAGATTTCATTTAACTTTCCCCTGAGATAAATACCCCAGTAAAGTGCGTGTGGTTCTCCAACACACTCTGAGGGTAAAGAGCTGCTCCTGATCCTCATCTACTGTCCCAGCTCAAGCAGAAGAGATTTGTGCTTTTGGTGCTGGTGTTAAGTGAGAGTGCCAAATTTAACTCGCTGTTGATGCAAGATGCCTGTATACACAGAGACTTATTACATTTGCCCTTAGAAGATCCTGAACAGAATAATATTATTCTCAGATGCAGAACTTTAAGAACTAGCACGTTTCTCTTTAAAACTCAAGGGTATTTGTGTTGCAGAATACAGGTGTTTACCTGGCTACTCAGCCTTAGAGAAAGAGACTACAGTGTTCTGTGACTACAGGAGGAACAGCAGCTATGGAATTGCTGAGCCAGATAACCAACATCAATGTGCTTTCTCAGGAGGTGGAATACGTTGCAAGTTTGGAATCCAGTCCCTAGAGAACTAGACTTTTCAATGCAGTTCATATAAAACATGTAGGACTTCTTGTGGAAACAAGTAAATAAAAAACCTTTCCAGTTACTACATGGAGTAAAAATATTTTGCTAATTTAGCATAAACATTAGAGATCACTTTGCCCAGATTTCATATAAAAACAATTAAGTTAGCTTTTTTTTTCAATGAAAAGCCCATTTTACACCTGGCAGTTTTTCTACTAGAGTACTGTACATGATGTTTTAAAGAGCTTCTAACCAGAAGAGTCATTGTTACAGAGCTAAAATTTACACTGTGTTTACATGCACACTGTTAACCATCTAGATTTGACACAGATAAAACTAAGATGCTGATTCTTGTTTGACAAACAAGACAGGTCTACATTTCAACTTACTTGATGTAGAATAAATAAAATTTCAGTATTAGAAGAATAAAAATGCTAAAATAGATTTTGAAATCAAAAAAAGGCAGTGCAGAATTTCCAGTGCAGTGAAAACCTGGTTCCTATGCCTCCTTTTCTAGACAAGAGCAAGGTTGGTTAATAAATTAAAGGTTGATATACAGCAGGTACTTTTAATTCCCATTTCATTTAAAAACAAATGGATCACAAGGTAATGGATATCCATACGATGCACATGCTATTTTGCTTGCAGACTTTTGCAGCTACAAAATTTCTAAAGCTTTTTTCCTCACTGAATCTGCTGTTTCCTATTTAGACCAAATGATGCTACATTTGAGGTACGATCAGAAGTCCACAAAAGCCAGTCTCATATTTCATTAAAACTGTTAAATGTTTAGGCAATCTAGAGAGTTCCGCATTTTTTCCCATGCTTTATTTAAGCTTTGATCAATAAGGCTCTGCTTTTATAAATTGCATACTGACATATTCATAAACTGGCTTGGGAAAAACATCCAAGTTTTGTTACAATGAATTTTAAGATCTTAGAAACACCTCAGAGAGTGGGGCTATGGCATTTCTCCAGAGTAGTTCACAGTTCCCGCAGTTAATATAGTCCTGCAAAACAGCACTAAAGTGCAAAGTATCTGAATGGTTGTTGGGCTAAAAGGTGCTGTGCAAGCTTAAGCTACTGCTTTGCCATTATATACAAGATCCTTTTTCTTTGAGGTGAGGGTACTAGTTCTGGAATGCCACTGATTTTAGTTTTAATGGAGGATTGTCTACCTTTCTAGAAGATGTAAATGCCCCCTTTCTGACTATTCTGTTTGTCAAGAACAGTAAACGAGAAAACAGCACACTCTAAAAATGTGTTTCAAGACAATTTACCAGAAATGGTATTAAAAAAAAAAAAAAGGAAGAATACAAGGTACTCTAGATGAAAAGTAGATATGCTCTTTGTAACTAGCTATGGATCTTCTGCTCAAATGAACATGCTGTTCATTTTTTTCAAAACATGAATTGTAAACTACCATAAATAAAATACATACAGTACAGAACAATTAAAACTTTTTTTGTACAGTAGTTACTTTTACATTAAACTTACCATCTTTTCAGATACGTTGAAAATTAGGACTCTAAACATGATTATTTCAAAGTATCATTTTTAACATTTTTGCACAGGCCCGACAGTCAAAAACACAAAGCTTTGATTCAGATAGCTTGGCAGGTTTCACACATGTCCATAGGTAGGCTACTTTGAAATTGGTTGGCTGTGTTTTTTTACTTACATGTTTTATTTTTATCAAAAAAAGGTTTGATTATTTTTATTTAAATCTTTATGTGTTGTGCAATACCACTGCCAGTGTAGCTTGAGAAAACACAATGTGTCTGGAACATTGATTACAGTCCAAGTGTTGTCTACCTCTTAAAAAAGTAAGATTCTAGGAAAATCCGATGGGAGTGAATTTTAATACAGGAAGTCAGTCCTAGAATAATTTTAATATTAAACAGGTACCGTTTCTACCACTGGAGATTTGATGCACTCCTCGTGCAGTCTGCTCTTTTCTGGGAGGTTTAGTGAATTCTCAGCAGGGTGCTCTTGCACGTGGCTGTCGCCATTCAAAGCTGACACAAAGCCATCTGGAGAAGGACCTTTCAAGTAGGAGTGAAATTCCACTTGCGGGTGACTTGGCCTATGCTCAGTGTATAAACTGTTACGTGGAGCACTGCCATCCCCTTCAGAAGATGAGCAGCAAACAATCACTGAGGGGTTTGCAGAAGGGTAATGAGGGCTGCTAAAAGTTTCCTCTGATTGCCGTGTGTAGTCAACAAACTGTTCAGAAGTCATGTTGTAAGGCACCAGAGAAAGACTACCATTCTTGACAGCATCCCTTTCTGAGTAAGTCTCACCGATCTGGTTAGCAGTGCCAGCAACGTGGTTCTCTATTTGGTAATACAGAGTTGAAGAGTTAGTATAGTATGAGGCATTTTTAGAGTGGTTTTCATGCACAGCAGTTCCATCAGAGTAGCAAAGGACAGAAGGAAGAGGCACCATATCAGCATGGGAGCCCATGCTTTCTACAAAATCATCTGCTTTTTCTTCCTCCTCATCTTCCTCCTCATCTTCCTCTTCCTCTTCATCATCATCTGATTCACTAGGGGCTAAACTCTGTGTGCTAGAATCTGTAACTCCACTACAAAAGCTACTCCCATCTTCCTCTTCCTCCTCTTCCCCTGGGCAGTCCAAGTCCTCGGCTGACTGGGAATGCATAACTGCAGCCGGAGGTTCAGTTTCAATCTCAAAATTTTCTGCAATTGAATATTCAACCGGATGGGGTCCTGGACTCATAGAACTAGTGTGTGCACTTATCTCAGTGTGGCAGCCATTAAGTGCTGGAACTTGCTGCTCTCTATTTTTCTCCAATTCAAGTTTCATTATTGTGTGCAAAAAGTGAGTCCGTACACGGATAGGGTTAAATTCGATTCTACCTGCGGTATTGCTACACCCTTCCTTAGTGCAACCGCATGGGAAAGACATACGATCCACCTTTTAAAGAAAAGAATATAGATTAACAATACGTAGCATAAGCCTGGAGATATGACAGAACCTAGACAGCCTAGAGAAACACAATGGTGAAGTGGCATTCACCTTGAGAAATATCTGTAAGAGTAGTTAAAGCCAACAGTAATTCAGGGAGTCAGCCCCGGAACTGACCAGTACTGAGAGGAACACTAAGGGATCTGTACGTGCATCAATGCTGCACAGTAGGAAAAACACACTTCTGTTCCATTGGTGAAAGTACTACACAGTGGAACAAAAAATAGGTAGTTTTTGTATTTATGGATCTGCTACAGCTTTACTTCACTTTGTGCTCAAATCCAGGCAAAATCATTACCAGAAAGCATCTTAAAATTTGGTAAAAATTGGTAAAAGTTATGGAAACTAGACACCTATTGAAACAAAATGAATTATATATAGGAAACTATATAAAGTTGCCAATGGGGACACCTGACCACAGAAAATAGGAATAAAACCACAAGTGTACTTTAAAAGGTATCCCACTCTATTCTAGGGGCAATATTGTAATCTCAACAGACTGTGCACAGAACTTCTACATCTAAAAATACTCATATTAAGTTTTTAAAAATGTGCCTGAATCCTCATGTCAGCCAGTTCCATTAGACAGTTGAAGGTCTGTGACTTTCACCTACACTGTAATATCTAAACATCAGATATGATGCAGAGACGTACCCTATAACATAATTTAGTACGTGTTCCCCACATGTGGAGATGAAAACAGGAACAGCAAGGAGAATATATTATTTAAAATAGTAGAGAAAGTTTAGCTTGGATTTATGAGATAATGAAAAATGCATTCAGGAGGAAAACTCAGCTGCACAACAGCAACTCAGCAGAAACTAGTTGAAACCTCTTTTAGGGAATATTTTGGGACATGTACAGCTGACAACTATGTAAATGTACAATATGAAATACCTCTTCAGTCTGCAGAGGAAAAATCTGCTATATTAGCAGATACATATTTTTATTGCCTACATGCAAATTTATCATGCATAGATTTTAAGTATCATGCATGTTACATAAAGGACAGTACCACAGAGTGTCATTCATTGTTTCTCATTGAGTTTGGACTGTAATTCACAGTTGGAGTGTATGTTAATTGTCTCTAAAATCAAAGATAATATCTGTTCTGAAATCGGCAGGCTACTGATTCTTCTGTTGTCTGCATCTGCCTATTTAGGTAAAGGCTAAAGAAGAGTACAAGGAGCAGAACACTTGTATGAGAACAAAAAAACACCCTAGACCATGTATGTGCCTAAACCGATCATAAAATAAAGAAAGATGCTTTAGGAGATTGTTTGTATTGATTGCCCACTATATACTGTTAAATCAGGGCCTTAAAAAACTGGTTTGAGATCCACAAGTGTTACTAATACTTGATTTCCAATGGTTATAACTTCAACAACAAAAAGTACACACGTGGGCGTGGACACACCCCCCTCCCCCAGATAATTAAACTGGCAATAATGTAGACATTTACCTGACATTTTATGCCTGCCAGACTGCAAGTGCAGGTTTCTGGGTCACAGAAGACACGGCAGTCACAGCCACAATCCTCTCTGGACAGGCGGATGGCTCGCAGCTCGTGTTTCTCTTCCACGTCAATCTTCTTCACCCCAGACGCTCGCAGCAGCGCCCTGCGCTTCTTTGTCGGCAGAGGCTGGAGAAAGAAGTACTCATCTACCTCAGTGTTGTCCAGATCAATGTCGTCATCAGAAATGTCATCCAGCGTCAGAGTATTGGCCTCTTCAGATTCCACCGTCCCATTCTTTGTCATCTGTTGCACAGAACAATCAACAAAGTCCTGAACTGCACTCACACATATGTGTGTCACAGATGCAACTTTGTGTAATGCATTGTGAATGTGCAAAGCTGTATGTAAAAACGCTGCATGACTGCCAGTAAGTTCCAGAATATGATCACATGTAGGGTGATCAGGCATTTCTTTCACATTTAGCTTATGAATTAAATATACATTTTTAGTACCATTTTTGTAATGAAGATAATTTTTTTCCTAAGTTTCTAGTTACTTACCTGTTCTTTATTTACCTATGCTTACCATTTGTCATTGACTGCCAGATCTCATGTCTGTCTGAAATTCTAGTCTTTTCTATATTGTTTCACAAGATAATTTTTGAGACCTTAATTGATTCCTGTCTCTGAGCTCTTTGAAATTCTTAAATATCTCTTTTGAGATAGTAATTATACTACTGACAGAGGTTTAGATGATGATGCCTCACAGGTTTGTAAATGGTGTATTCGATGTACTATTTATTATCCTATTCTTCTTTAGCCTGACAAGTTGTTTGATGTCCGTATAGCTGAGAACACAGAGCAGTATTTCTGCTTAATGAGCTGGGCAGATGGCTGTGTTTGCTTCTTGAGTTGATAGTTTTAAGTCTGGAAGTCACTTAGTTTTGCCCCTTTCTATCTACATTACTCCATTCCAACCTAAATGATTCTGTGATTCCATGTTTATTAGCACTGTGTTTCACAGTGCTGATGCATACAGCTCTTCTGATGTTCTTTCTGGTTCTCTTTGGTCCTGAAAAGAACACATTTAGCTTTGTGTTGTCATAGATTGTAGTACTTCAGTCATCAGTTCAGATTATTGTTAGGTAGCTAACAAATGAATATATTTAGAAAAAAAGGAAGCAAGTTGTTAACCTCTTGTGGAGGATCTTGAGAAAAGTTTAAGAGGATTCATGCTCTTTTCCGAGAAATATGAATTTTTGAGCCTCTATAGAAACAAGTATCCTGGCACTATATTATTACCTTTGTACAGTCTAGCTCTCAAACCTTTCAAAAATTGTTTCAAAATTAAATGGCCATGAGCATTAAGAACAAACATCCAGTGCCACATTCATAAGATAGCACACTTCTGTACCATACTCCTGTAACTCATCTCATAGAGAAAGGGGTGAATATAGTTAAGGAGAAAAGGGGAAAAAAATTACTGCTCTGAAAGAAAGGTAGAGCTCACTGGTTATATCTGCCAGATAACAACCACAGGGTTCATAAAAGTTCTTCCACAGAGAAAATTGCTTGAGAGTCAAAACAATATCAAAAATTAAAACAAAATTCAGAGAGACAATGACATTCACTACAAACATGCCATTTGAATGTTTCTTACCTATAGAAAAATAGCCATTGAAACTCTTTCTTGGTTTTGCATTATTTACTTGCAGAAAATTTCACCTTGGCGTGTTATCTCAAATAAATTTTTAGGCACCAGTTTTAAATACAGATAAAATACTGAATTCATAAGTACCATAACCTGTTTCTTGTGCAGGTCAATGTTAAGACATTTAACAATTATAGTTGTAAAAGTAACTCCCCGTTTTTCTGCTAATTTGTGTCATCTCCATCTAGCTATGTTTCTGATGTATGAGAAAGCAGTCCTCGATTTTACCCATTCCACTATTTCTGCTTTTCTTATATTGCCAATTGCTCAAGTTTCCCGTTTATATTACCAGGTCATCCTTTCCACAGTCTTTTGGATTGTAACTGTCATTTATGGCATTACTGAATTACTTGACAGTGACCTCCTACTGACTGCTTACTCTTTTTGGCAATCGCAGTTTTGTGCTTGTAACAACTGTGTAAGACAATCACAGGAAAAAACTCCACAACCTAGTTACTCCTGACTTGTAAAGGCAGGTTAAAAGCCATACTCCTCCCTTTAAAGGAGGAGTCTCAGGGTCATGACGTAGTCCTTATGTACAGTTTATGTGTACACATTACACTGCACAAAGAAAACTTCTCCTGATATCAGCAATCATCCCTTCTTAGCAATTCAGCACTGTATTTAGTTCATGCAGAGATGTTCTGCCACTTCCACAACCCACTTTAGCATTACTGTTTCTTTCTCTTTTCAGTGTATTCTCAAACTTTCTCCCTGATTGAAGCCTTTGGAGTTTAGTGCCTTCATTTTATGCAATGTTTCAGCATATCATGTCTGTTATCCCTATATCATTCAAATCCCTTCTAGCTCTTTCTTCATCTTAAATACACGCATTTTCAAAATGTCCTCTCAAACTTCCTTTCTTACTCCATTTTCTCTTATGCATTTCACATTACGGTAGCTGGGAAAAGTTCTGCCTGGCCCTGGGACAATGGAGAGACTATTTACACTAAGTATTTCAACGTATTAATTCAGTAAGGTAGGAAAGGCAACATTAGAAGTCATCCCTTTGTCTGTACATTCTGCAGTGAGAGACAGGTAAATCCACACAGTGATTAAATGCATCTTGAATTAGTTGCCTGAAGCGAAGGAGAGGGAATACTCCACTGTACACAAAACTCAGCCTGAATATTCCAATCCAGAATGGCACACTTCAGGGTTTTTTATATTTTTCATTTTATGTTAGCAAGGTAGAACTAAGTACAGTGTATTTATGTTACTTGCTTGCCCTTTTTTTGGTTTCATATATAATAGGGAAATGACCTACCGAAGAAATCTGACTTCTCTACTTTTATATATGCAAGGCTCAAACCACTCCTTAAGCAGAGCACTGTTATTTAAGTTTGAAACTGGGGATGGGGAAGAATTCTAATCCCCGCTTCTTTAATTATTTTAGCATTTTATTCAATTACTCCATAATAAAAATTAACTTTTAGGGCTCTTACCCATGAGGTGAATGCTGTAACTGTTCCGCTTACAAAAGCACCTACAGAACCACACCAATCCTGTCCTGTATTTCTCCTCCTCCTCTGCAAATCTTAACTGCCTTGCTACACAGCAGTAGAGCATTAGGGAATGGACTCCAGTCACATGCTGAACACTACATGCCTCCAGCAGGCTGGAACGTCCTGGGCATCAAGCAGGATTAGGCAGCAGTTAGCCATTTCAAAGTACCTTCGCTCCTGACTCCTCTGCTGGATGATTTCCTTTTTGTCTACTCTGATTTTTTTTCCCCTCAATTTTGCCACATAAAGAACAAATGAATTAATGAACTGAAAGATCCTAACATTATTCAAACAAGTAACTGGGTAACTACAGAGGGAGTAAGATTATCATGAACCATCAAATACATTCCAATACAGAACTTCAGGGGAGTATTAAGTTCTCTTGATTGTCATAATATTGCTCATCTGAATTAAATTTGATATGTAGCTGGGTAAATTTCTCTCATAAAGCTAAAGGTTAATGTCATAACCACAGAACAAGGCAAGGGCCAATGAATATGTGAAGCCTTTGGGTGAAATTCACTCCAACTCAGTAAAATTTAGGATTGACACCTTTGCCTGTCTAGGTGGAAATTATGCCTTACAATTTCCCACAAAGGAAACCAACTGTGTCCATAGACCTGTGAGCCTTAACATCACTAGTCTCATGCTAATAGTTATAATAAATTTTAATTTGAGGAAACATTATGAGTAAGCAATAAGGACTATTCCAGCTAATTTATTGTGCTTACTCAATGTTTTCTCAAATGACTACCTTGTACCTTTCATTTGACAATATGTCTTTTATGTCCAGATTGCCATTAGAATTTTCACACTCTGCTGCTAACAAGTGTTTATGCCACTGTCAGCAGTGTTTGTTTACACCAAAGTGCTGGTGCTAAATGGTCAAAATGACTTGAAAATGATTTCAGTGTCTTTATCTGCTTTTAATTAGACATGTTTCTCATTTGGCCCTTCGCTTTTGGCAAGCAAAATAATAAACAGTACCTAATATTACGGAAGCTCAATTTCAATATATTCCTGTAGTTCTATCTTTTTTAAACAAATTCTACGAGAGAGCACTTTCTACCCACTGACTTGTATATTTTAATGCAATTCCAAAAATAAGAAAAATCCCAAGGAAACAAATTAGAAACCACACCGAAAATGTTACTTTCTGTTTGCATAATGTTTTTCAAACAGAAAAACCTCTGAGCAAACTTTGCTCTACTTCATTTCCTCATTTCCTTCATTTTTCTGTGATGTACAGAAATTCTGATGCAAACCTGATTAGCACATTTTCATTAAAGACCATAATTGCTGACATTGCCACCTTAGAATGCCATTTCCTTTTTGTGTTCATTTAGAAACTATGTGAATGACCAAGCGGCTCTTCCATCTCTATAATGGAAAATCAGCCCTGTTGTCTTAAGCAAACAAAACATGCCCAGTACTTTACAGTGACTCTTCACTAATTCAGTAAATCCTGGAGTTGCTTTTTATGTTTGAATTTTTTTTATCTCAAGTGCATAATCAGGGATGCAAGTAAACTGAGATTACCAGACTTGCTCAAAAAGGAAGTTTTTTGCTGCCTGCATTTTTATACACACCCCAGGGTGAAAAGAGATATTTTATTCTAGCAAAAAATTTAACACTACTAAGATGCAAATAAGACTCTCCTTATTCACCAAATACTTATGAAGAGATTTTGCAGGAACTTAGTCTCAATAAAGATTATCGTCTACTCAAGTGACTGGGAAGATGGAAAAACATGTTGTATTTGGAAGACAAGCAGACAGTAGGGTCTATATCCCCAAAAAAGCCTGGGCTGAAGTGAAGCAAGTTAATGAAGAAAAGAAATCCATCCCAGTCAAGAGGAGGACTATAAAAGGACAAAGAGCCCAGCTCTAATCTATATAGATGAAGGCTAAAAAGCCTCATCAAATCTTTCAAGTTAAATACGAACTGTGGTTTTTCTTTATTTACTTTTTAGCTAAGAAAAAAAAAGGAAAAGTGAAATATTTACGTGCTTGGCTATTCTTTACTCACTTCACTGGAGACTCCTCTCTTTGAGCTGATTCCTGGAAGTCAGCCAAGGGTTCTACTGTTAGTCATCAGTTAAACTCACACAGCACAATTCACACTCGATGCTCTCAAGATCCTGTTTAGAGGTATAATCTCTATCTAGTGATAAGTCACTAACACTCTAACCTGTCCAATATCTGTCTTTAATTTGCCGTTGTCCTGAGTGGTTTTATGACAGATCACATTTTACAAACTTACTAATTTATTTAAGAATCCATTTAGCTATTTAGAATCTATTTATCAATAAAAAAAAAAAAACAATTAGGAGACTGAAAAAAGTAAATACAAATGTATAGGTCATGCACACTTCCTCAAGTGTTCAGACATAAAACTCATGAACGTGGGTCATTCTATGGGAAAAATGCTGAAAGGCATTTCTTAAACTTGGAGGGTGCCACTTTGCTCTGGACAACAGCAGAGACAGAGATGTACTATCACAAAAGAAGAGGACATGCAACACAGAAATGCAGTTACAGTTCTGAATATTGTTCACTTTTAATTACAGAATTCATCTGAAAAAGAGCCCAAAATACATGTAATAAAGGTCATGACACAGGAAGTGTTTCATCTACCACAAAAACATAAAATGTTCTGCCACCAGTTTTAAAGTGACATAAGGGACACTTCCAAGAACACAATCCCCTTATCTGTTCTCTGCTCAAATACACAGTTTCTTTCCTCTGCTATGCTCTACTTTAAAGGACATTTTCATGGGGAAGCTGGCCCCAGGAGGGCCAATGGTATCCTGGGGGTGCATTGGAGGAGTGTAGCCAGCAGGTCAAGTGAGGGGATCCTGTCCCTCTACTCGGCCCTAGTGAGGCCACATCTGGAGTGTTGTGTTCAATTCTGGTCTCCACAGTTCAAGAAAGACAAGGAGCTACTGGAGAAGGCCCAGTGGAGGGTCACAAAGATGATCAGGGGTGTGGAGCATCTCTCTTATGAGGAGAGACTGTGGGAGCTGGGCCTGTTTAGTCTAGAGAAGAGAAGACTGAGAGGAGATCTCATTAATGCAAATAAATATCTCAAAGGTGGGTGCCAAGAGGATGGTGACAGACTTTTCAGTGGTGCTCAATGACAGGATGAGGAGCTATGGCCATAAACTAAAACACGAGAAGTTTCATCTCAACATGAGGAAAAACTTCTTTACAATGACGGTGGCAGAGCACTGGAACAGACTGCCCAGGGAGGTCGTGGAATCTTCCTCTTTAGAGACATTCCAAACCCTCCTGGACGTGTCCTGTGTCACCTGCCCTAGGTGACCCTGCCTTGGTGGGGGTTGCGGTTGGAGCAGGTGATCTCCAGAGGTCCCTTCCAACCTTAATGATTCTGTGATTCTGTGAAAACTGTACCAAAGATTTGTTCTGACTGGCTAAACTGATACAGCTGGGTAATTTGTCTGACACATTTCTTCTTTGATGCAGACATTCTTTGGTGAAATATTAAAGACACATAATCATATAAATTGGTACACTACAAAAGAAAACATTTTGGTATTACTGTTTCTTACTTTTTGCCAAATTCACTCAAGTTGGCCAAGAAAACAAGCACTTCCGCTTTCTGTACTTAGGGTGTTACCATTCCCTTGTCTAATAGGGCCTGTGCACAGGTCAGAAGACTCATTCTCTTTCTGGCACTCCCAGACTTCTGCTGGACATGGAAGTTCAAGGCTAACTTCCACCACTCTCTGCTTTTATTTCCCTCTCTATAGAAAACTGGGAATAAACAACAATCTCCCGCTAAAGCACTTGGAGGTACACAGCAATGACAGCTACAAGAGCACTTGGTATTATCGAACAAAAATACATCTTCAGTAAAATAAAATAAAGAATGAAAAAAGAAAAATGCCTGTTTCAATTGAAAATGTTTAACACACATTGGGCCCATATGGCTCTGGCTCCACACATTTAAATAAATAAGGCAGGGATCAAAGTCTTAAACAATTTTTACCTTTAACTTTAGAGAATTGAGTTTTTCCTCCCTCAGATGCTCTCTCAACATCTCCCGGTGAAGCCTCTCCTGTTCCATCGCAAACTCTCCCAGTGTGTACTGGCGCACACTGTTGTGGCGAGTGGACATTCCCAGTGTGCTTCCCCCTTGGCTGGGAACACTGGTGAAGCCTTGCCTTCTCGTGAAGTAATACACAGTAACACAGTTAAAATGGACATTTTTTGTTCTCTTCCGCTTCTCTCTCTTCAGGATTGAAGACGCTGGAACAGATGGAGATCACAGCATGAATAACTTCAGCCACATGGCAGATGTGTTGAGGTAAATGGAACTACACAAGTGACAACACCCGACTACCTACACATGTATAGACACTATATTCCAAGGTGTGCAGTCTAAATGAGGAGATAACATTAGAAATATTTACCACCTATGCAAACCCAGAAGCCATTACAAACTGCTGCAATCATGAACACCGTCGTCTACTTCAGAAGAGAAACTCTTGGCCAGGGCAGTTGTTTCCCATCACATTTTATCATTTTACCAAGGAAGCAACTAAATCCCAGCAAAAGGAATTTCTTTCACAGTGTCACCACAGTGATCCAGGCTTGCACCTCTTCCAACCCCTGTGAACAAAACAATGCTGCACAAGCCAGCAGTGAGAACTGCGGGCCATGCCCCTCACAGGTCTATGTACACTGCTGCCCTTCTGTCAGCAAGGCAGCACAGATCTGCAACTGCATCTCTAAAGCACTAGATCACACTGACAGAAAAGATTCCTATCTCTTATAATCCAAATTGTGATAAATTAGTGTTAGAAAAACTAGAAAAGGAGTATGTTTAGTGTTTCATACTGTCTCAGAAATTCATACTGTCATCATCATCATCAACACTGAATGATACAGGAATAATGTTGTTTAGCAGTCGGACCCACTTCATTTTTCTTTATCTTCATCTATCTTTCTGTTGCCATCTACTGAACACAGGTGTGTGTGTGCACATCTTCTAATGTGTAGGATGTTGACAAAAATGATATCTAGTATTTTCTAATTCTTTTCTGATTCCACTCACACTCATGCTCAGTTTTTCTTATACACATATGCAGTATCATATGAAACAAATTTGTTTAAAAACAAGTGCCAAATTTTAACTGTTAAATATTCTTCTTTTTGTTCTACAGACACTTAGTAACTCCTTCCCCCAATACTAATCTATTGTTTCTCACTGGTAACAATGGTGAGCCTTTAGAGAAAAAAAGACACACAAACGTTTGAGAAAGATAAGAGACATTCCCTGATTTTTAAGATGAGCAGTCCAATTTATTTGATTTATTGCAAAATGGCAACAGGTTGTTGAGAATGCAGATAATAAGTCATTGCTTTGCAGTTTACAGGCAAGAACTGCAGGTGTGTGCAGGTGTGAATGAGAGACCTCACTGCCAGGATTCAGGCAGTAAAATTATTTAAAGGGTGCCAGAACACTCTTGAATGACTTGGAACTGTTCTATAAAAGCAGTTAAGAGCAACGTGATGTACACTGCTAATCTAAAATTGCGCTGCCTCTAGAGATAGGAAGCACTTGGCTATCAGCCTTGGTTTCATAACAGGTCTGCTTTATTGTCACAATTAAAACACAGTTCAGTCTCCAATATTATTATGTAGTGAAATGTTAATCACCATGAATGTAAATCCCCAAACTTCTACACAAAGCAATGCTGTCCAAAAAACCCAGCATGATCTACCTAACTGTAGGAAAAACAAGCATATTAGAAAATACAGCCCTGTATCCAAATTACACACAGTGTGTTCTACTGACGTAACCACTTTGGGGCTCAATGAAACACTGAAATAGTATTACTTTTCCTAAATACTAATAAGTGGCTAAAAGTATAGTTTATTATATAAATAACATGCATGCAGGTATGTTAGATTATAAATATAAAACAGATACATAAGCTTAGGTCCTATATTCACTTACATGCTCTCAGTGAAGGGTGTTCCAAAAAGGTGTAGGATGTACACAGTGGAATCAAAAGACAAATTCTTTTACATTAGGCATGTTTAACTTACATGCAAACTCCATGACTAAGCAAATCTCATATCAACAGAGCCTGTCAAAAATATTTATAGGAAGCTTTTAGTGGGGAAGAGGGTTATTTCGTTAGCAGAGATTAGTTGATAGGGGTGTGTCAATTTTGCATTATATAAAATATTGTTTTAATGTGCTGTTCTTTTTCATATATACCACAGTTTCAAAAGAAAACTACCTTTAATAAAACCAACTTTATAGCAATTGGAAGATGGGGCAATTTTGATACTGTGACATTCTTTCAACGTAGCATAAAAGCTAATACTCTGAATCAGAACCTTCACTGCCTATACACTCCAGTACATAGGGAAGTATGTATTAAAAAGTCCTTTTTCTGCTGAACGAGGTATCTAAACCACTCTGGGGTGTATTCAATTTCTGATGTAACACTATCAATGTTATTTGGATCCCACCTGGATGATGCCTCTATTTTGGAAGAAATACTGGCAGCTATTGAAGGGCAAGCAGCTATTTTACCAATTAAATGAACCAGCCACAAATGGAATGAGAGATGAAACTATAGTAAAATACTCAGGGAAAGAAAAGTTACTCTTGAAAATATATATATGTCTCATGAAGATATAGAAGGTAATTCTGTAAATCGTACAAGCCAGTGAATACCCTTGAATCTTCAACTGTAAACCTCAATATCTATGATATAAGGTCTATGTTTATAGTAATTTGGTTTATACTTTAGCTATGGAACTCCTGACCGGGCTGCTTACTGGCACAAATACCAAATGCTGCAATAAAAGTACTCATGTTTTGTAAGTCTGTCAATCTCTGTATGGCAGAGATGCTACTTTCATACTACTTGCTATACATGAAGCAATGAACCTTAAGTTTTATTCAGACACTACACACTAATATTAATAATTAAATGAAGCTAAACAGATGAGTCTGCACTCTAATTACTTCCAGCTGAAAAAAAAGTCATCTATGATAAAAACTAGATTACACTAGTTTTCCACTATGTGGATTTTTGCCCATGTGTGTGCTATTAAAATGTAGAACATGACTTTCATGCGTTGCCATATGTTTATGCCTAAAAGTTGTCAGCAGTTTCTCAGTAAGACCGCAGTTGTCATGAGCTGTCTTAAAGAACCCATTAATGCATTTATAGTTCTTATCGCTTTTAATAATTGAATTATCAGTGCCATACCATCAAAATTGTTTGCTTGGTTTGCTTTTTTTAATGTATCGCTGAGAAAAACTGTGTTAAAGTACAATTAAACAGAAGTTCAAGAAAATGTTGGCATACTGTAACTGCACCATCAGCAGCACTATAAATCCAGCACTTAAGACAGTGTGAGAGCTGACATGCGTTTGTTGTAAATGCCATTAAAGTTCATGATTTTATTTATTAATATTATAGTTCTGAGTCAGACAAATTATATGATAATCTGTATAATTAAACACGCATGTAAACATTCCCAGCCCTCAGAATACATGGGATTATTTTTTCTGAAACACATCCTATCTTTTGAGTTTGCTTCTGTCTCACCCAGGAGCTCAATAAAGGGCAGAACTAAGGCTCTGTGAAGAACCCCATGGTCATCTCTTGTATGCTACTGCTAAGAAGGAGTCAGAATATATTCGTATTTATGAGAATGTTGTTTACAAGAACAGATCTAGCAGGAACTTCAAAAGATTAGTGGATTTTATTTGATTACCCAAAAGCATAGATGAGAGATGCCAGCAAGGAGATGTGAGAACTGCAACCACCTCAGTAACCAAGGACATGAAAGGAAGCACAGTCAGCACCACAAAGGCACTATGCTCTTGCTCTATTATACCTCCTAAAATCTCTGAGCAGAGGGCTGCCTTAATGTGAGCTCAAAAGTATTATTAGATATTGAATGGAAATGTTGGACATTTTCCAACATCAGGGACAAAGTGCTCTATAATGCAGTACATTTCCTTCAAGCCAACTAGAACTCAGATTCTCAGAGCATCTTATCAAGAGTCAGGGGCATATGTTATTTTGCATGCACTGTACCTTAAACAGTACATTCAAATCAGCTGTAATTACTGCTAAGGACACTGCTTAACTCAAGACAGAGCAGAAGAACATACAAAATACATATGTTCTGACATATTAGAAAGCATGAATTTACTGACTATTATTATATTAGCAAGCAAAATTTACTGGCATTAATCAGTTAGTAAGCTCCAATCAGAATGAAGGACACAGACTGTGCAAGGCTTGCAGGCCTCTCCAGAGTCAGTTTCAAAGGTTTTGCAGGTAAGCCAAAGCCTGTAATCTATAAATTTATCCACTGAGAGTGTTAACACCACAGTTTTCCAGAAGAGGTCTAGTAATGGCTTCCTTGCTTGGCCAGTCTCAAAAAAGCATTTCCATGTCATCTGCCTGTGTAACAAGTGGTATCAGTGGATGCCACTATCATCTGTTCCACACAACAGGGATGGTAGTGACTGCAGGCAGAGGCTGTGAGGTTGAGAGGTGGTTTTTTAGCATCTGCTGGACGCACACTGTCAACACCAATTAGAAGATGTTTTTTGAGAATGAATGTCACCACTTTGGTGGGTGAGGATGCCAGAGGGAATAAAAATATTCATCATCACCTAAAACTGTCCTATGGATTACACATGATATTTAACACATTTATATACTACAAGTCTGATATATTCCATGGAATGAAACAAATGCTCCATTCTCATGTATTTAAACATTTAATATAATTTTTAGTTCCATGTTTCAAGATCATATGGAGTTAAATATTTTTGACAGAGACACAAGTACTCTAATTCATAAAATATATCAATAATCAGAGGGAAGGACGATAGTGGTAAGAACATAACTACCAGTACAGAACTATCTCTCCGAAAAGGCCACTATATCTGAACAAGGTCTTCAGACATAGATATCTTCAAATAGGACCGTTGTGAGTTCTAATCTGAAATAATATCAACTACTGAAATTTTGACTTTTGGCATTTGACATTTGAGTGGCTCTGTTTTTGGATTGAGCAGAGCTCAAGTTAATAACCTACTTGCAACTGGCCTTCCTCCTCATGGAGTCAAGCCAGGTCCTGCAGGATTATCAGCTCCTTGCCATGCAAAGGCAGCTGCTGCAGAGTCAGGGCTGTATCTGGCCACAGCACAGTCCCATCAAGGTCCTACTTGAACCAAGCTACAGGACAGCACAGTCATC